TAAAGGAAACAGGATTTATTAGGGAAGGTGGTGGAGTGATGGGCACCAGGAGGCAGAAACAAAGTCCGGTGAAGGGGTGCCGGTCGTGGGGAATAACCCGGTGGTGGGATCTGGTGCAGGGATGTCAGTCGTGGAGAGGGAGGAGTGGAGTCTTCCGTGTCGTGATCCGAGGAAGGGGGGTCCCGAGGGTGGTGCACGAAGAGCCGGTGCCTGAGAGCGCCTTGGTCCGTGAGGGTTTTCCCGGTGCAGAGAGGGAGCCGTGACGAGGGAAGCCGGGGTGGTGCGCAGGGGTCCGGTGCTCGTGGGGGGGTGCTCTCGTGAAGGGTCTCCCGGTGAAGGTGTCCGTGGTCGGGAATTCCCGTGGGTGACAAACGCTGGAGTGTTTGGAGGTGTGCCGGAGCCGAGGAGGAGAACTGGAAACAGGCAGAGAAACATACCATAAACTCGAAGCGAGAGAACATCAAGAATGCTCCGCACGGTGTAGCAGCTCGTGGCTTGTCTGTACCCCGAGGTAGGCATCACAATCCTCTGGCGTCGGTCTTCTGTGAGACGCCAGTATACAAGCAGGGCACCGCTGATGAGCCACAGCTGCCAGCGTGGGCGTGTCTCCTGATCGGCTCCGCCCAGCCTGCAGAGACACACCCACCAAAACACAGACAGACAAAATACCGAAAACCCAGTGAACACAGTCTATGACCCTCACAGATTCCTTATTAAAAAATTAGTAAGTTATTAAAGAAATGTATGCACAACATAATCTATAATAAACCTTGACTTATTTGTCATGGCCTTTTCTGCTCCACTCAAGAATCTAATGTTGAGTCAAAACAGCAGATTTTTATTACTCTTATTATTACTGATTCATTATTAGAAATTATAAAATAAATGCATACCTGAGATTGAAAAAGATATATGTTTTACCTTTATTATTCTTGTTGGCCTTAAAGCTAAACTTGTGCAGCAATTTACTGTCTAAGCTGAGTTTCCCCAGAGGATCAACAAAGTATTTCTGATTCTAATTCTGATGCGGCCTCAGTCTTGTTGCAGTACAGCACCAGTCCAACAGAGGGCGGCACTGCGCATGTCAGCTACTTTTAAAACCAGAAGAAGAAGGCATTTCCGGAATAAACAAGGGCATGTGTTGAGTAACTCTCCTTGTGAATGTGAGGCTGTTTTTGTGAGCGTTAGGTATGTCACTGCTGTGGGGGGCTACATGACAGCTGCTGGACGTCGTTAGTGTTCACGGTTAGAAAGTCTTCTCCGCCTTCCTGAGCTCATGGCGGCCGCTGCTCATGTGTCCGCTGTCCGCTCTCTGTACAAAAGAATCCTGGTGCTGCACCGGTTCCTGCCCATAGACCTGCGAGCCCTCGGCGACCAGTATGTGAAAGACGAGTTCAGGAGACATAAAGCTGCAGCTCCCGAGGAGGTGAAGAACTTCATGACAGAGTGGGAGGTAAAGCAGTTCACCTTCTAACCAGACCCGTTTCAAAAAGCTCTCAATTTAAAGCACAGTCCATGTCAGTGAAGAGTACTCACTCAGGTTATTTTACATAAGTTTACATAGAAAACTTCCTCCAACAGAATGTAGAGCTCCTTTAGTCGTTGTTGGTTAGCTGGTCACTCTCTAAACCTCATCTCACATGTAGAGAATAGAAGCTGAGGTAAATCATTAGAGAGATTTCAGAGCTGCACCTCAGGTTTCAGTCCAATAACATGCTGAGGTTAATTGGTGATTCTAAATTGTCAATAGATGTGAATGTGAGTGTGCTTGGTTGTCTGTCTCTAAGTGTAGCCTTGTGATAGACTGGTTACCTGTCCAGGGTGTCCCCTGCCTTCACCCTGAGTCAGCTGGGATAGACTCCAGCCCCCCATGACCCTAGTGAGGATTAAGAGGTGTATAGATGATGGATGGATGGATAATGGACCTAAGGCTTAGTTTCACTGCTGATTAATCTGTAGATTTTTTTTTTTATCAATTAACCAATCAGTTGTTTGGTCCGTAAAGTTAGGATGACCAGGACACTCGGCCCGGCAATGAGATGCACTCAAATGATACGTGAAGTTTACTCAAAGGTGCCTTATAATTTCAATACATTTAAAGTATGCCTCCTCTGTATGGATAGAAAATTGTTATAGTCACTTTATAAAAAACAACATGGACGGCCAGGACAGGAAGTGAAACAGGACGTCCTGGAAAAACAGGACGTTTGGTCACCTGACATGAAGGGTCAGAAATCTGTGAAAAATCTCAGTCATGCTTTCCCAAAGTCCAACATGACAGATGTCTAATGTTGTCGACAACTCCAAGATAGTAAGTTTACTGTCATAAATGAGGAAATAAACCAGAACATATTCACATTTAAGAAACTGCAATCAGAGATT